TATAACTCGATAATCTCACGGAGGTGGGACAATGTCCCACACATCATTTATTTTAAATTGATTCAAATCATCTCACATGGCTATAACCCAATGCTCATCAAGTAAGAATTATTTTGCGTTTTTAGGTTTAATTTGAGACACAAATGCAAAATGATAACATAAATTACTTTTCTAAGAATGTGTAGTTATGCCTTTGGTGATATCTCCAAGAATGTTATCGATTGGATGGTTCTTAGAAATCCTACAAGCCAAGGGAAGATCATCCACTTTATTTGGAATTTTATCCTTATCCTTTTCAGGATCGTCACTTCCTCCTCCCTAGGTTTCACCACTTCTGGTTGATCAGTTCCTTATTCGGTGTCATTGAGTATGTTTTCTGAAGATACACCTACACCATGAAAAGAAATTACTTTACCTACATTTCTCGGATAAAACTCATAAAAAGTGACATCCACAGACTCTTCAACACTAAGTAATATCTTATTATAAACACTATAAGTTTTGCTTGATTGAGAGTATCCAAGTAAGCATATTGGCGTTATTTACCCTTAAGCCCTTAAACGAATAATCTTTATTTTCAATAAGTTCAATCATGCAAGGATTTATGAAAGATATATGTGTTGCATAGTTGACTAATGCTAAGTACATTATGTTTAAGGTATTCACAAGAGTAACAATAGAGATAATAATAGAAGAGGGATTACCTACACTACCTTTACCAAGTATAACACCCTTATTATTTTTTCTGTAGGTCACATAGTCCTTATTTTCCTTGAAGTCAATGAATAGGGAAATGTCACCCATCATATGCCATGAGCATCCACTATTGAGAAATCATATTCTCTCCATGGAGAACACATATTCAACCTACAAGATCAATAAAAAGTGTTAGGTACCCAATTTTCATTGGGTCCTTGAGAGTGAATGGAAACTTGGTTGAATTTAGGAAACCATTGAAATACACCTTTAGGAACCAAATATCTCCTAAATTTTCATTTTGCAATGGTACGAAATTTCTTGCATTAATAATGACAAGCCAAGTGATGATGAGAGGGGCGTTTTCTATTTGATTCATTTTCAACAAATTTGTACTTTTTGTACGGTACATTCAAGGTAACTTTTAGTTTTAATGGCTTGTTCAATTTAGCTTTTAGAGTAATAACCTCTTTTTCCAAAATATGACAAGTCTTACAACCAAACCAAGAAGGATTATCATCCTCAATTTCAATTTTTGGAACATCCACTACAAGAAAATTGGCAGATTGCGACAGGTATTTTTGTAGATTACGACGGTTAAAACCGTCGCAATTTGCTTTCCACGACGGTTGCTTTACCATCGCAGAAGTGTGTGTCCCCAACCTATTTCGCGACGGTTACAAAAACTGTCGTTCTAGTTTTTACGACGGGTTGATACCGTCGTGACTATCTTTTGAGTTTCTTTTAATTATTGATGGCGACGGTTCGATACTGTCGTGAATATCTTTTGAAATTGATTACATTGTTTATGGCGACGGTTCGATACCGTCATGACTTTTGTTGATTATTTTTAATTGTTGATTACGACGGTTCGGTACTGTCGCCATGACTTTTGTTTATGTCTTGATTTTATTTTATTTTTCTATTATATATATTTTTTATTTAAATTATTATCTATGTAAAAAATTTTAAATATAGTTTTTTTTTGTGTTATTTTTTTCCTTAAATTATTTCTTCTTTAATATATTTATTTATAGTATTATTTTTTGTTTTATTTTCTATCACTTTGTAATATAGTAAAAATAATTTCAATAAAAAATATTTAACATCAAATAAGCATTATAATATCCAAAAAAATGTGTGTTCCATAATCATGTAAAATGCGAGTTCCATAATCATGTCAAGTAGTACAAAAAACCTAAAATATATCAATTCCTAATCTTATAATAATAAGTATCATTATGCCAAAAATACATGAGAAAGTTCACAATCTAATTATCTCGATCATAGCAAAGTCTAATTTGTCCCCCCTAAAGTTCCATTATCTCCAATACGGTAGCTAGACTCAGATGAACGTCTACCATCAGCGGGTGATTCCAATCCCTAAAAAAAGGTATTAAAATAATAATCTTTAAAATAATACTCATAAAATTTAACTTTAAATGCGTCAAAATAATATACCTGTCTTCCACTAAAATTCTGCATTTGCATTAAGAGTTCAATTTCCTTTGTCCTCGCCTTGTCCCTTTGCGTTAAGAATATGATTGCCTGTGTTAATTCATCAATTTTTGAATTCTTTTCTTTAAGTGCATTAATTTCTTCTTGCATTTCCTTTATTTGTTCACTTTCTGCAGAAGAAGATGTCGATCTCGTAGATCTATTAATTTGAGATGGTGTAACTCCAAGTCCCATACTACGAACATATCCATGCTTTTCTTTTCCAAATACTTTCTGAAATGCCTCATTTTCAGACACAGAATCCTTAATTGCAGCTTGTAATTTTTTCTGCACATGAAAAAGAAAAAATTGAGCTATTGTTTATATAACAAGAATAATATAACAGTAAAGCTTGCTATCCACCATTAGCAGATTTAGAAGCTTGTTGTGCGTCATTGGAAGGCATTAATGTCTCATGTTACTGTAAGAATGTGACTCCTGATATTGAAAATGCAATCAGCATGGAAAAAGCATTGTTTGTAGCAAACGCTTGTAAAGTTCCAAACGTTCCTACTGATAAATGTGGAAGTAAGTTAATAACATTTTATTATCAAATTCAAATAAATATTAATTATTTTATGAAAAACTAATATTAACTTGAGTTCAAAACGTTAATATTGGATGAAACGTTCCTACTGATAAAACGTTCCTTTCTCTTCTTTTGATATGTATTCACTTGAGTTCAATGATATATGATCTCATTGTTAATAACATAAATAAGTTATAAGCTTTTATTTAGTTCAATGATACAATGTCATCAAGTGGAATCCAAGCATATATCGGGCTCTTTCTCCATATTATATATATAAATTCCAGTGGTGAGTTTTATTTGGGATGGTTCTATTACTATTACCGTTTTTTTTTCCAGTATTTCAAAAGAATTAACTTGTACTTACATTATTGTTGTATGCATCTTCATTGATAAATGACCCGTTAGGCTTTTTATGAGAAACTGCATACATTTCTCCTCTGCTGTATGTTCGTCCATCTCTCATTTCCTGCAAATAAAAACTAATATAAATTGTTTGTACTATCAAGCAAACGATCAACAACATATAGATTTATACATACCAACTCATGTTTCTTCCTTGCAAGCGACTTAGATCCGAGTGTATGCGGAGCCTTCAATTTTGCTCTATTTTGGGAATTTTTTTGGGATATTTTCTACATTTGTAACAAATAAAAACATGCATTATAGATAGGGATAACATACAAACCAGAGAAATCTAACAAATAAAAACACTAATGTTACCTGTGTTTTTTCTTTCCGCCTATATTGAACATAAACAACCCAGTCATTTTCAGGAATGCCTCTGCATTTTGGATAATTTTGAAGATTTTCCTCCAAAGGGAGATCCCATCTATAAAATTCGTGAAACAATGTATGTCGAGCATCCTTCCATTTCCTTGCAGCAGAAGCAAGTACAAAATCTTTGTCACGCCCATCATCCACAAGAAAATGGCGCTAAACATAAAAATATATTAGTTGACAAAGGAAATAATAATCACCATGAAGTTAATTTAAAAAATATGTAATTGTTTATTAATAATACCTTTATCTTTGATTCATAAAACTTTGTTTTTGTATCTGCTGGAACATTCTTCCAACTCTCAAACATTATGGGAATATCTCTAAACATTCTAATAATTATACCCAAATATCCTGCTAGCAAACCAGAAGCCGGTCCTACTGCACAATTATTCTTATTGAATTCAAGTATTATCCATGTTCCATCAGGCTCTGATTTCGCAACCAAGTCTTTCACACATAAACGTGTGTTTGAAACATAACCTTCCTCGTCTATCACATTAAAAAAGTAAACAAATTAATTTCATAACTCAACTATGTAAAAAATTTAAATTATTTATAGATACTTTAACCTTAAATTACTTACTAATGACATTTACATCCCAATACTCAGATTTAGCCACTTTAACAACATCTCCAGTCCCATCTCCTACCACAACATCTTCAGCCTCATCTCCTACCACAACATCTCCAGTCCCATCTCCTACCACAACATCTTCAGCCTCATCTCCTACCACAACATCTTCAGCCTCATCTCCTAATACAACATCTCCAGTCCCATCTCCTACCACAACATCATCAGCCTCATCTCCTACCATGTCATCTTCATCCTCATCTTCTACCACAACATCTTTTGCAATTTGGATTGACGGAGGGGTTATTGTAGTTTCCATTGGTGGAGGGGTTATTGTAGTTTCCATTGGTGGAGGGGTTATTGATGATTTGCGAGTTGTAATTGAACGTAGGCGCTTCTTATTTACTTCAAGCTCTCCAGGTTGTACAAACCTTGAACGGCCCTTCACAGACTAAATAAAATACATTAGTGAATATTAGTAAATAATAAGTACAATTAATTTGTATGGAGTAGTATAGAGAATTTATGACTGACCAGTGATGGTTTGGAAGAAGACTCTGATGATTTGTGAAGGGATTTAGAGAGTGTAGGAAGATTGAGAGCCGCTAACTTTTTCTTATTCTCTGCAATTCTTTTGAGGCGACTATTCTCATATGGTGTAGTCATTGTCTCACAAAAGGCTTCAACTGCAAGTATAGGTATTAAGTACACTAAAAGTAGTAAACATCAAAATTATATATTAGTGAATACAAATTTAATAAACATAACATAAACACAATAAATTAAAAACATAGAGTAACAATGTCATCTAACATATTAATTAGGGATAAGCAACAAAGAACATAGAGTAACAATGGAATATCATACATTAAGTCTCACACAAGTTACAAACAAACTAGATTCTTATCAATAAAAAACTATATGTTAACTATTGTCATCATTTGTCGCTGAAGTTCCAAGATCATCATTTGAAAAGATTTGTTCCAAATTTTGTGATGGATATGGCTCAATGGGTGTCATAATTTCATCATTTCCACCCATGTCATACAAGTCTCTTGGCTTCAAATGAACAGGTATGCTCCATCCTTGTTCACTCTCATCATCTACATAAAAAACCATATGAGCTTCAGATGCTTGAATATATGGCTCATTATCTTCATGTTCACTAGTATGTAGTAGTCTTGCAAAGTTTATAGAGGTAAAACCCAACTTATCTATCTTAATTCCTCTTGGGTTTATGGTATTAGCCCATTCACATTTAAACATGGGCACTGTGAAGCCATCATAGGAAAGCACAATAATATCTATTAATCTTCCATAGTAAGGGACCCCTCCAAATCTCATTTGGGTATCATTATTGCTTGAATAACTTCGTGTCCCAAACATGCCAAAAACTCCACTATTTTGAGTTTTTAAAAGATTGTCTCGTTCCAACGTTCGAAACTTGAATCCATTGACATTGAACGCGGTAAATCTTTTAACTTTATCAAAAGGTCCATGAGAAAGACTAATGAGAACATCTTTATCTGGCCCATGAATGTTGTCAAGATTGTTGCGAATCTATACATGATACAACATTCAATTAGTCTTGTTATTATTAAAAACCAATTCAATAAAACATCTATTTTTGTATGAAAACTCACACGATTGCTGAACCAATGCACAAACTCCTTATGAACCTTCTTGTCTATCTCAGTAGCACTTCTTTGACTGCGCCTCATTTGGTTTTGAGTAAAACTTCGGAACTGCCTATTTGATTATTCGATATTAGATGTAAAAAAATATTAATAGTATAGATGAAACTACTTAAATGTAATAAAACTACATACTTTAGATATTCGTCAACTATTGGACAGTTTGTTAAAACGTGTCTATGAGCCTGCAATTTTTCAGTTGGTGTTAGGGTGTAATAAGAAGATCCACCCACAGGTTTTCCAACTCTAGGAAATAATTCAGCTACACGTGAAGCAGTTTGGATATCATCAATAGGGTCGTCATCTACACGTCCAGGTTGATTCCATCTAGTCTCAATATTTTCTAGATATCTTGAACAAAATGTAAGAATCTCTTCAAAACGGTATCCTTCTGCAATAGACCCTTCTGGATTTGCCTTATTACTTACATACGATTTAAGTTTTCCCAAGTACCTATCATTGAACCACAATAACACTAGTTAAAAAAACTTTCTACTTTCTAATTAAGTTAGTAACATTAGAACAAAATCACATAGTTTACCTTTCAACAGGATACATCCATCAATAATGAACAGGACCTCCAAGTTTAACTTCTTCAACAAGGTGAACAACCAAGTGGACCATAACCGTGAAGAACGAGGGAGGAAATAACATTTCCATATGGCATAAAGTGAGGACAATTTGGTTTTGCAATTTTTCCATGTCTTCAATTTTCAATACCTTGGCACATAATTGTCTAAAGAATGAGCACAACTCAATCAATACTACTGAAACCTCATGAGGTAATGTTGTGCGAATGGCTAATGGTAAAAGTTGTTCCATTAATATATGACAATCATGACTCTTCATCATTCCATTCACCTTGAGATTTACTAAGTCAATGCATGTAGAAATGTTGCTTGAATAACCATCAGGCACCCTAATATTCTTTAAAGTCATTAAAAAATTCCTTTTATTTTTACCTGTTAAACTAAAGGCAGCCGGAGAAATTTTACCATTTTCATCAGGCCAAAGATCAGGTCTTATGCCCATATTTTGAAGGTCTTCTCGAGCTTTATAATGGTCTTTACTCTTTTGCCTATCATTCAGTAGAGTAAATAGGACATTATCGCACACATTTTTCTCAATATGCATCGGATCAAGATTATGGCGTAGAAGATTATCTTTCCAATACGGAAGTTCAAAAAATATGCTTTTCTTTTTCCATTGTTGAGGATGACCTTTTGTAGGATCACATTGTGTACTATCACCTTCTATAGGTTGTTCCTCACGTGTTCTTTTTACTGATTTTTCTTTCACTGCCTTTTTACCAAAGATGACTTCAACATCTTTAACCTTTTCAAAAACTTCATGTCCAGATAATGTTCTCGGTGGACTCCGCATTTCTTGTTCACCATTAAAGCGGATCTTGTTTAATCTAAACCTGTGTCTCCGATCAAGGAAACGACGATGACCCATAAAACACCATTTACGACTAGCTTTAAGACGGAGAGGTGTAGTTTGAAAGTTACACGATGGGCAAGCAAGTCCTGTGTATGTGTTCCACCCAGAAAGTGAACCCAACCCTGGAAAGTCACTAATAGTCCACATCAAATTTGCATGCAACTTGAACATCTCTTTCTTGAAAGAATCGTATGTATCCACACCACTTGTCCATAACTCCTTCAGGTCTTTGATTAATGGTTGTAAGTAGACATCAATATTATTTCCTGGTGCCTTTTTACCGGGAATTATCATTGACATTATAAATGATGTCTGCTTCATGCAAACCCATGGAGGAGTGTTATATGGTATGAGAACAACTGGCCAAATACTATTGTTTGTACTCATCACACCAAAAGGATTAAAACCATCACTAGCCAATGCAAGACGCACATTCCGTGGATCTGATGAAAACCAAGTATGTGTCAAGTCAAATTTCTTCCAAGCTTCTGAATCTCTAGGATGCCTCAACATTCCATCATTGTTAGTATCTGTTGCATGCCATCTCATATCCTCTGCCGTTTTTGATGACAAAAATAATCTCTGTAATCGAGGTTTTAATGGAAAATAACGAAGAACCTTGGCAGGAATTTTATTTTTTTTCTTGTTAACAGAGACATCCTCATTTGTTTTCCATTTTGAAGTGTTGCAATTTTTGCAAGTCTCCCTCTCCTCATCTTCTCCCCAATAAAGCATACAACCGTTTGGACATGCGGGTATCTTTACATAATTCAAACCAAGTTTTGTGATTGATTTCTTGGCTTCATAGAATGAACTTGGAATGTTTGCATATTCAAATGCATCTTTTATTAACTCTAAAATCATTGTCATTGCCTTCTCACTCAATCCACATAAACACTTTATATGGTACAACTTAACCAAAAAAGATAGTCTTGAATATCATCTACACCCTTCATATAAAGGTTGTTCTCCTTCTCTAGCCAACTCATAATACTCCTTGGCTTTGTTTCTTTCCTGAGTTGAGCTTGGCATCACATAATCTTCTTGTTCAATCTCCAAATTTGACGCAGATGGTATTTCATTTGCATGATTCCCATAAACTCCAAATGCATCGTTGATCATGTTCTGAATAGGTTCTTCGACAATGTTAGTATATTCTACCATACTTGGAGTAGTACTAGGGGAGATAGTACTAGATCGTACAAAAGACTCTCCGTGATGGATCCACACGGTGTATCCCTGCGGAAATGGTGACCAACTTAAGTGGTCGAACATGTCACTCCTACTCTTTAATTTTCTGAAACCGCAACGTTTGCAAGGACATATTACTACGTCGTTTTCTTTTGCACCTTTGAATGCAAAATCAATAAATTCTTGTATTCCTTTTTGATACGCAATCGATGATTGTGGCTTAATAATCCATGACTTATCCATTTCTTCAAAAAAAATAATTATATTTTCAGAATTCTAGTACTTACGAGAACATGTTATTTTGAATATAAACAATAGAAAAATAAAAGAGATGAGTTTTATTATTGGTTGTTTAATTTGTTTTTACACACTACATAACAAGTTTATAGGTGAAGCCTTGTGATATCAATTAGTATAATACAGTTTCATGTAACAGACATATATGGATAAATACTTCATATCAATATGTTTACTACATTTAGCTAGGTACTTCAAGAATATTTACTTATGTTGTGTCAGTGTGCGAGTGCGACCTTAATATTGCTTTGTACTAGGATTTTAAAGTGCTTTTGCGGTCCCGTATGAATGCGATTGCAAACATTGCAATTTTGGTTATTACAATTGCTTATAAAAATAATGTATTTGTAAAGGCACACTCAAATTTAAGATAAAATTCTTATAAGATAAAATTCTTTAGTCTAGCACTATTAAACAGTGATATAGTAAAGGCACACTCAAATTTAAGAATGAAATCATACCTCAAAGACGCACGAGGGTTTGAAGAGCAGCGAAGCAAGTGGAAGAGAAAAGTTACCTGCAACAAAAACCAAAGCAGCATATCAATAGTTGGTAGAAATCATAGATTTATCAAATAGAAATCTTATATTTTTCAACAGCTCATATCCCTTTAAATCCAACAAAAACATTATTATTTTCATTCTAGTGCGGAAGACACTTCATGTTTCAGATGCATGAAGGGGTGCAGCTCATGTTTCGACCGTCCTACATTTGCAAAGAAAGAAAAATCTGTCTAAATCATTACAGTTCAATTAACAGAGTAACTCTGTAGTTTACATTTCAAATAACAAACATTACACATTCCCATTTATGTTTTTGACAGCTATTCGACAGCTATTCGACAGCTAAACCCTTCAAAGCAATATTCTAAGGTACATGTTCTTCTTTGGCAATAGAAGAAAAGTAGTTCATTAACTAAACAAGAAAATCACAATAAATTAAAACCTGTATTTAGACTTGAAATTAGTTTTTTTAACACAGATTATCATGCAACCAAGTTTGGCTTCTCTAAATGAAGTGATAAATATGCTTGAGAGAAAATTACAAAACCATAACCATTTATTAGAAAATAGATGCTCGAGATTAAGATGAAATACATGCACATGCAGTAACACATTTTCAATCTCTGTTAATAATAATGCATGAACTATTCGAAATACAGGTTATTAAAGCACTGCTTACGGAACCTATCCTCCTGCATATCCTGCACAGGTGAAAAGATGTTTCAGCTATAGTTGTAGTGATTATTTGTCCCCTGATATATTTCTGCTCTACAGTTCTTGTGTCGGTGTTAATTACAATTCTGTTCTGTTGAACAATGGGAAGCAAAAGAAATGGAAAGTGTGTGATAGTAGTATAGGGGGCATATTAAGTGAGAGGATTGATTTATGAGAGGTGAGAGGATGTAACCGTTAGATCAAAAGATTAAATCCCTCAAAGTATCAAGATTAAATCCCTTAAAGTATCAAGATATAATCCGTGAACCACAACTGGATGTGATAAAGATTTCTTCATTCATTCTTGGGCAAAATTATTTATTCTTGGTTGTGATTATTAAGACTATGTTTTAAAACCACCCACCATGTTACATTTGAGTCATGACCTGTCCATTCAAATTTGAACAATCTCATACCACCTTCACCTTTGAGGAATCTCAATTAAGCCACGACCTGTGTCCTTCAAATTTGAACAATCTCGTACCACCTTAATCTTTGAGGAATCTCAATTGAACCACGACCTGTGTCATTCAAAATTGAAAAGGCTGGTGCCCCTCATATGAAGCGGTGGCCAAAAACTAGAATCTCAAACGCCAATTTATGAAATCTAAAGAAAATAACGCAGCTTGTGAGAGAAACATAGAAGCAAGAAAAAAAAGAGATGTGAAACAGGCACGCACTGAAGGTCTGCGAGAAAAATATGGGCAACGATCACTTTCAATTTTAATTGAGGGATTTAATCTTGATAATGTACATTCTGCTTAACCCGTGAGTATTTGGAATTGGATCTAGTGTTAATACTTTTGTCTGAATTTCAACAGGCACTGCCTCAACAAAATTATGCACAACCTGCAGCTCCGGCACAGCAACCTGCAGCAGTTCCTCAGGCCTATTACGGGAGTTACTACTGAGGTGACCGAGTGAGATGGCTACTGTTTTTGCTTCATGTAATTTTTGCCTTGAATATTGTAGGTAATTTGTTTCTAGGTAATTTGAAGTATAGATCAGGGTAAGCTTCTTTTTGACTCGATTGTAGTTAGTTGTTGCCTATGAGATTTTCTTGATATTGGTATTTTCACGTTATGGTGCTACACTTTTTACATATTACTACAATATCAATCTAATATGAACGACTTGACAAATGAAAATTGTATTTTGAGAGAAGCTCCTTAGCATGTCTTTCGAAATAAAATATTATTCTTGTGTTAAAATGTCAGTAAAAGTGACTTGGTGGGTGATAACTATAGAGGGAAGATAAATTTTATTTAATGTGAGTTGCTTTCATCCAAGGCAGCTGGTTTAGAGCTATGTAGTTCATGCATGATTGGTAATCCATTCGAATATTTCACATAGTTCATGCATTATTATTAACAGAGATTGAAAATGTGCAAATCCCAAAAGAAAGTTAAA